GTATTTTAAACTGTATAAAAAAAATTGAAATCAATTGTGAAAATCCATTCCTTATATAGGACGGTCTCTCCTGTTTAGAAATTGTGAATCACTGGAATTATTTGATATTTTAATACTTTAGAATGATCATAAGAGGAAAAAACGTCAAGAAGAGGGAGAAGAGAGAGAAAAAAATGTGGAAGAAGAAAAGGTTATTTATAATGATGAGATAAGCAATTATTTAATAAGAAATTCTAAACCAGCACATTCTTAACACTATTGGCCCTTTCTACTAGGAATTAAAAGATATTTTAGGAAACATTGTCAAATACTCAAAAACAACCAAAGAAATTTTTTTGTTCCACAAAAAAAAATATCCCGAGGATGATTTAATTGATTTAAGGTTATCTTCACCCTTTTTTAAGAATCTTCCAAAATCTATTGCATCAAATTATCTCACAGAAATGAACAAGATGACAGAACAATTGATTCCTAAAAAGGTGCACGAATTTCTCATACAGTTGTTTTCACAGAAAATTCCTGATACTGAATGGCAAACCAAAATCGATGATATATATACAATCTCCAGAACCAGACAATCCTTTGATGATTGCAGTTGTACGAATTTTACATCATACTTTACCACAATTGTATGTAGTAATTATCATTATATTGATTTATTTTCAAATTCTGTTCTAACTATTTTTTTCACTGAATAGCATTAAAGCTTTCTCCCTTGGTTCTCAAAATCCTCTTCAAAACATTTCAACAATTGAGCAAGTGCACCTTAATGCATTTGTGCATCCATGTCTGGATAACACATTATGGAATTTAGCAAAAGTACATTATGAATATGGGGAAATCCCATCTAAGAATCACTATAATAAGAACCATGCTGATGGTGTTGATTTTATGACTGATGCTGACAAATTTCAGCTTGTATGTGTCGAAGGGTCAAGGCTGGTAGTGAAACAAGAAAAGGAAATTATAGATGTTAAAAAAATTATAAATAATTTGAAAAGCATATTTTCAAAAATTATAAAAGAAATAGTTAAAGACAGAAGGTGTTTACCAAAAAAATTATTTGTATTCGGTGGTCAGAGCTTTCGTTTACAGATTTATTTGTATTATCTTGATTATTGTGGTATGTTGCATATACACCCTTTTTTTCATTTACTATGAAAAAGTAATGATTTCATTGCTAATAATATCATTTTAGGAAATTATCAGTTAAATTAAAGACTAGTGCTGTAAATTATGATGATGGTAGTAATTGTATTTATGGCATATAAAAAGTGGTTGCAATTACCTTTGTGACCACTTTTGCAACCATACTTTTTCCTTTTTTGGATTACGGCACTAGTCTTTAGGTTAAATGAAGTTGATAGTGCTAGTTTACCATGGGAATTTTCAGAAATGCAAGATTTTGTATACTTTTATGAAAGTATATTAAAATGGGCAGTATGTATAAATGTAAAATATTCATGTTATAACATTAAACTTTCACTAATATATACCATCTACAAATTTAGCTGTTGGTCAGGAAGTTAAAACATCCTTCGATGAAGCAAAAACTAAACCAAGACTCTCACATTTTTCATATGTAAATGCTCAAAATCAATTCACTTTCCTCCCAAAAAAAAACCACGCAGATCAATAGGGAATAGTAAAATTTTGATGATCTGCATCATAGTAAAATTCGAATTTACATACAATCAAGTGATTTCTAATCCACATTTAATACCCTTGTTGTGTAGCAACCGCCGCCAAATTTGATATATAACTTCTTTGTCATATGTATCTGCTTTAAGACAATTTTCAAAGCAAGTTGTTAATAAAACCGAAAATAATCTGACCCTTAAAGTCAAATTTTGCCTTTATATTCATATATGTAAAATTTTGTTTGACGCGTCCAATCGCAAGTATAAGTAGAAATAAATGTCCAAATATTACATTATTATGGATATTTGTAGATTTTTGATCACTTAGGTATGTCTTTTATAGTAAAATCATTTATTTTAAAAGTAATATAATAAATAA